AAAACTAATAAAATCTAGTAAAATCTGAGAAAAGAAATATTTTTTTACATATCAACCCAAATAATAATAAATAAATGTCAAAAACATATATCTTTACAAAAAATTTTTTAAATGTGTGACCCTGAAATTACACCATGTTTGAATTGGTTAATAAATAATAATAATTAAAAAAAAAATAACTTTCCAATATATCTATTTGCTGCCATTTTGATAGTTTTTGCAGTTTTTGAATGCTGAATGATCATTCCACCTTTTTTTCCCCAGGCACCTTAGCTGTCAGATTTGTTTTTCTTTTCCAGTGTATAATTGTGGAGGCGTTTTACTGAGGTAGGCTAAACTCATTTATTGTAAAAGCTGCTGTTTCCATGTAAATAAACTCTGTTCCTACTTTCACGTGTTTCACTGAACTGAAAGCGCCGGAGACTTTTTTATTTTTTTTTGGGCGGCACTTTTTGGCCACCCAGCAGCGTCACTTCTCCATTTCACATGTGAGCCTTTGAGCGCAACACTGTGCGTAAATCCTGCTCGGAGGTGACCGAGCCCACAGCGCTGCCATGGACTCCAGCGCCACTTCCAATCACTCTTCTGGTTAAAATGCGGATCTAATGTGCGCCTCTGGATCTGGGCTGTGAAGTGAAACTGGTAGAGATCAGACGACTTCTGTGTTGCACCGAGATCAGGACTCACAACAACACTTCTCCTGGTGGGGTGAGTAGCTGCTAGTGGTGCCATAACTTCTCTGTGACCGAGACTGTGACCGAGAAATCTGGAGCACAGACAGGAGCATTTACAGAGAACTCACGTAGAGAACTTTGGAAAACAGCAAGAAAGTGGAAAATACAAAAAGAAATCAATGTGTATTCATTAAAAGCGTCAAGATTTTTAGTGAGTTGTGAAGTACAATTTGGTTTACTTCTGATTATGTTACCTACACTTATTTCCCAAAACACTTCATGGTAAAACATGTTTTATTTTTTACTCTGCTACATCTATTACATTTATACTTAGCATACTACTTACATTGTTATTAATTACCAGCATCTAAAGCAGTTAAACAGAACACCTCTTTTACCACCTACAACCTTAAATGTTGCTTACATGCACCTGTCATAGTAATAATCCAGAAGTATAACATATAGAAGCTAAATATACGACTTTGCCAGTTGCTCTTCTGCATTTGAGGTACTTTTCCTTTTGATACTTGAAGTAATAATACTGTGCTCAAGTAAAAATGTAACTTACATGACAGAGCTGCTATTATTAATCAGTTGATTATTTGTCAACTGTTGAATCATTTGCCAACTATTTTGATAATCCATTAATCATTTTGAGTATTTTTTTAAAAACAAAAAACTGTTCAAATTCTCTGATTCCAGCTTCCTAAATGTGAATATTTTCTGGGTTCTTTAGTCCTCTATGACAGTAAGCTGACTGTCTTTGGGTTGTTGTCAAAACAACACATTTAAGGACCTTGTTTTAGGCTTTAGGAAGGACTAATCAACATTTTTCACAATTCTCTGACATTTAATTTAATTGGCCAAACAACTAACTGTTTAAGTGAGAAAAAAAAAATCAACAGTTTGCTTGACGGTGAACATGCTGGAAACAGTCTTCAGGATCTGAATATTTCTACCATCACTGTTCAGCAAAGACTGTAAGAAATCTGACTCCTCAGTGGTTTGCTTTTGGGGCACAACTAATTGTTATTTACATTTTTGACTACCTACAGGTTATTCTCTTGGGTAATCGTTTGTTCTTTTAAATAACAGTCCTTCTCTCATTCACTAAAGCCCTAAAAACTTATCTCCTTGTGTTACATGTTTTATTTCCATGCAAAAATATGATTCTGTTGCTTTGTCTAGAATATGCAGATCACCTATAAGTCCTTTTAAACATGCGCTCCTTTCTGTTAGTCTGACCACAACTAAACATGTCGACTTCATGTCTGAACGAGCAAACATAACATTTAACATGGCACAAGTCTAAATTACATGGCTTCCCATTAATAGATAACTGGAATGTGCCAAAACATGTTTCTCATTTGCTTCGCTCTACAATTTCACATTTAGCTGAAGTGACCACAAACATACAGCAGTGAAGACAGAACAGGTCAGACTGATGAGACTGAAGACAGGAGCTGAAGTTCAGTTTGTTGCTTCCAGCTATTTGTAGAGTCTTTTCTCGGAGATCATTAAATACCAGCAGCATCAGACAGTAGCATGATCCATACATATGTTAGGAAAAAAAACCCCCAAAAAACATGCTTTTTGTTGGAGGACATCTTTAAATACCCAACCAAGAGCTGGAAGAGAGTTTATAGTTTTAAACTGAAGAATGCACCAAATCGTCACATTCAGAATAGTCATTGTTGCATGCAAGACTAAGTCAGTTAATCTTTTGTCAATCAACTTATCAATCATCCATTATCCATCCATTATCTATACACCGCTTAATCCTCACTAGGGTCATGGAGGGCTGGAGCCTATCCCAGCTGACTTAGGGTGAAGGCAGGAGACATCCTGGACAGGTCACCAGTCTATCACAGGGCTACACTTAGAGACAGACAACCAAGCACACTCACATTCACACCTACGGACAATTTAGAGTCACCAATTAACCTCAACATGTTTTTGGACTGTGTGGGAGGAAGCTGGAGAACCCGGAGAGAACCCATGCTGCACGGGGAGAACATGCAAACTCCACACAGAAAGATGCTGGGTGTCTTCACCGGGACGCAAACTGGCGACCTTCTCGCTGCGAGGCAACGTTGCTAACCACTGAGCCACCTTGCAGCCCACTTATCAATCAATCAACTAAAAAGTCTATTTTTAAACTCAAAACCTTTGTGTTTGTCTAGATGTGTACTTTTTTTAATAATGTAAAAATCCTCTGATCACAGTGCTTGTTTTTCCTTTGTAGGTTTTCAGACTTTAAAGCTTCTCTCAGAAGTAACATCGTTATGGAAACGGTCATCAGCAGCAAAGACACTTACAACCAGTCAGCAGTGTTCATCCCAGTCTTCAACTCCAGCTGTCGCTTTGATGAGGAGTTCAAATACATCCTGCTGCCCGTGTCCTACAGTCTGGTGTTTGTGGTCGGCTTCGTGCTCAACGCCGCAGCTCTATGGATGTTCCTGAAGATGCGACCGTGGAACCCCAGCACTGTGTACATGTTCCACCTCGCCCTGTCCGACTTCCTGTACGTCATCTCCCTGCCCACCCTCATCTACTACTACGCCAACCGTAGCCACTGGCCCTTCGGCTTGGCTGCCTGCAAGATCGTGCGCTTCCTCTTTTACGCCAACCTCTACTGCAGCATCCTCTTCCTCACCTGCATCAGCGTGCATCGATACCTCGGCATTTGCCACCCCATCAAGGCGCTGACCCTCATAAAGTCCCGTCACGCCCACCTGGTGTGTTGCACGGTTTGGGTTGTGGTGACCGTGTGCCTGGTGCCCAACCTCATCTTCGTCACCACCTCCAGGAGGGACAACGATACCTTGTGCCATGACACGACCAGCCAGGGCGCCTTTGAGGAGTACGTGAACTACAGCTCCGTCGTCATGGTGCTGCTGTTTGGCATCCCGTTCATGGTGATTGTGGTGTGCTACTGCCTGATGGCGCGGACTCTCTGTCGGCCTAGACAGGGATTATCTGGCCGCCAGCAGGGCGGCGCCTCGCGTCAGAAGTCCATCAAACTCATCATCATAGTTCTGGTGGTGTTCGCCGTGAGCTTTGTCCCGTTTCACATCACACGGACTCTCTACTACACCTCCCGTGTGCTGAATCTTGACTGTAATTTCCTCAACATTGTAAACTTTACCTACAAGATCACCAGGCCGCTGGCCAGCGTCAACAGTTGTATAGATCCCATTCTGTATTTCCTGGCTGGGGATCACTACCGCTCCAAACTGATGTCTGTCCTGACAGGAAGGAGACAGATGTTGAGCAGCCAATCACCTGAACAGGCACAGCCGAACAGTAACTGCAGTATAGGCCTGGTGCAGAAGAACTCGACCCATAAAGCCAGTGAAAATGCCCAGAGCTAGTTGGACGTTTATTTAAATGATGCCCATGCTGAAGAAAGCGAGTAAAAGGTTTGACACAGTTGGTCACAGATGACTTTAAGTGAGTGACAAATAATTCAGGATCAGTGAACGCTTGCCATCTTCGATATAGAATCCTAAGCTGATCCAACACCCACTGTTCATATCGTACTGATAGCCTGACTGTGGTCACAGAATTAAGACAGCTATGAGGCAATCCTTCCTGTTTTATCAGCAGTGTTTGTGTGTTACCCAGAAACTCTGGCTACAACCAGCTCCAGGTCCCAGCTGTTTTTGTCCTTCAGCTTCCACAGCTGTCTTTTGCTCAACTGTGGAGAAATCCAATAAGACGGCTCCGGTCAGTCTCTCTCATTTATAAACCACCCACTCCTCAGCAGAGGGAGAAGGGATTTTCCTTCCCCCCCTCTCTCTTACCTTTGGGATTGATACATGGAATTGCTAAGGTCTTTTTTTTTTATCAGTGATCCAGCCTGAACTCTTCTGTAGTTTTGCAGGAGCTTAAGTCAGTGCTGGAAAGTTTTACTGAATGATACCGAGCCCTCCACCCTTGTTTTTCACGCTGATGTATGCATCTGTGCTGGAGCAGATGTTTTCATATGGCGCAGCATCACGTGGTGTTCTGTAAAGCACGAGGACGGTCTTCGAAGTTGTTTTTGTAATTACAGTTTTATGAGTTCATAAAGTGTTACTGCGTGAGTTACGGTTGTCATAAACTGTATGTCCTGACCTGATTATGGTCAGTGTGAGATGTAATGTCTCCGTCAGTTTGCCCTCATTAAAAGTGTAACATAACGAGACCCACAAAGTGAAAGCAGCAGTGAAACATTTCTCATTTGAAATCTACCATCAATTCCGCAGAGAGACCTGCAGAAGCTATTGGACAAGAAATCCAAACAAAAACATCCGTCATGGTGGTGAGAAGGCAGTTTGGATATTTCACGTTATCATCTCTACATACCATTCAACTGAAGAGGCTGCTTTTCTGGATAAATGTTGAAGCTATTTGATGAGACGATAGAAAGCGCTGTAATCTTAAATCTTGATGATTCCTGTGTAGAGATGTTACATAAAGTCTCTTCAAAATGAAAGAATCCCATGTTATTCTCACACTGTGTAGCACTTGTTAACGTACACGCTGTCTCAGCTTGTTTCAATCCTTCACCGACTGATACATTCAAACCCTGTATTTGTATGGCAGGACTATTACATCGGAGTAGGTTGGAGGCCTTGAAAGCTTTGAAATGTAAACTTTAACCCACAACAGATGAGTTACGACCACCCGCCAACAAGTTACAGTAATCGCGCTTCAAATTGCACCGGCATGTGAAACAAATAAAACTGACCCTTGCAATTATTTGCTAATTACCGTTAATGTAATTAATGTTTCATACTGTTGACCAAGAAGATATGTCAGCTTTGTGCACATGTCTGCAGTGAATGGCAGATGCCCTGTATTGTAAGCTCGCTAGCGCCTCCCTGTGGTGTGATTTTTGTCAAGAAGCTGTTCTCAGAAGCAGGTCAGGAGAGCTGAAATAAACCAGGTAACTAATTATGCACGAAAATTGCAAAAGCTGTTTTATTTTTAAACAGATTGGCATTTTTGTGTTGTAAATTATGATGTCATTGCAGCTTGTTTTTGGTGCAATTTGGCCCTCAGCGTTGTCTTAAAGACAAAGAATGAAAGGAGAAGAAGGCAGTCGACATGAACAGCACAGAAATAAGGTAAGATAGTCAGGATATTTAAATAATATATATTTTTTAAAGAAATAACCCTCAGTTTCTCTGTGATTGTAAAAAATTTCTGGCATAAAATGAAAACCTAAACTTGAAAGGCAGTGTGAGAGCTCAGGACCTTGTTGGGCTGCGACCGCCTCCACTGCAAGCAAACATTCATATTACAGGCATTTACTTCACCTCAGTGTTATACAAGAAAACTGTTTTAGTAAAGTCAAGTGAGTCTTGATCATTTTTCAAGCAGGATCTGTCCTCCTTTTATTCCAAGAGGACTGCGTCTCTACAAGTTGCCACTCGTAGAGCAAGTCCCCACACAGACTGGAGTTTAGTGGAAGGTAAACCGAACAAAGACCAGAGAAGTAGATGAATTTTAACATTACAAAGAATATGCAAGTTTTAAATTGTTCAGCGACAGCACTGATCCTGAGCTGCTCAGGAAATGATAAAAGGTCATTCTGGGTAAAATGCACCCTTTTTGTTGACTTGCTTCCTCCTCACTTGATTTGCTGAACTTAGGAAACCTTGCAATATTTCTCGCCTCCTTCAGTTTCTTTCGATTTACAAGGATTTGGATTAAACATATAAAGAGCAGAGTTAATTAGTGATTCTGTGTCACAATGAATAATCATCTACATGCTCCTCTCTGAGTTCAGAAAAAAACTGAGGATGATCATCAAACTAAAGTAGCAGATTTTCTTAGTTGACTTCTTTTTTTTTTTTCTTTCTTCAAATATCCTTGTTGTTATTTTTCTGCTGTTAGAATTAACTGTTGTCTCTGCCGTGCTGCTGGCTGCCTTCGTGTGTCTTGTTTTCCTTTCTGAGAAAATCAAAGCAGATATTGACCCAAATGACTTAAATACTGACAGCATATGTTGCACAGACCGGAGACACATTTGTGAGTAATTCAAGGTAATGAATCTGATCAGCTTATTAATCCTTTTTATAACTTTCACAGCTGAGTTATGCTTTCAAAATAATTTGGGAAATATATCTAATAAAACTGAAGCAACTCAGTGGAGGCTGACTTTACTTTGAATATATATTAAGCTATGTGCTTTTGTTTCGTCCATTTGAAATTTAAAGATAGCCAGATAACTAATGTTAATTACCTGTTAAAGACGTTTCTTTTTGGTAGATTAGAAGAGATCGTTATATGTCACAGGGCCAATCCTGACGCCTGCAAGACAGAGCTGCGGGTATTTGGACCCATTTAGAATTTATTTTGATGGAAAAACACACATGAAGCAACAGATGGCTGAGTTATCCTGAAAGAAAACGGAAGAGGATGGAGGTAAATTTATTTTTGATTTTATGATCATGATATTTGAACCTAATTAGTAAATTTGTAGAATGTGGCAAAGCATTGGGATTAACGCGCGTAAAGATAATTGACAATTAACGGCCCAGCCAATCGAAAACGGCATTCAAAAAAAATAAAGTTAAGCATTCACTGGACTTGTGCGATTTTAAGACTGCCGAATTATCGCCACCCTATCGTGATCATATTACAAATTCAAAGGAAAAGCAATGTTTGCGCCATGTGGTGTATCATATTTACTGATGTCAAAGAGACCCCGTTTCGATCAGAAAAACATCACTTTACAGACGCTATTCTTTCTAAATTGAACTCAAATGGGGCTAAATTTGGCAAATGTGCCCACCTCTGCTGTTTAACTGCCCTCGGGGTTTATTTGGATCCGTGCGCGTCTCCATTCTCCAAGTTTACTTGAATCACTTTGAGGCTCCTGAAGCTTCACGCAGACTGCAGCTCTGAATAAAGCACTTGATGTCCTCGGCCAGTGAGCATGTCTGCGCTCAAGGACGCAGTGGATGGAGAGCACAATCAACGATCGGATTCACCACATTTAGAGGAGAGAAACGCGCTCGTTTTGTTATTATTCTTATAGAAATATAGAAAAGTAACCTGACAGTCGAACACCCTTAAGACTACTTTAAGAAATCCATTCAGCTGAATGCGTCCATTATTGTGAAGTTTGTCCTCAAGCATAGACTCTAAAATACTTTCCTTTTTTTTTTGACGAGCTTTTCATCAGCTCAGTCACATCAGTGAGGAAAAACAACTTCAGACTGATTGACACAAAGACATGTTGTTATTTTTGCTTTTGGAGATAATTATTTTTTTAACATTTTTTGAGATATTTGAAATACCAGCAAAGAAAGGGGCAAAAACAATCAAATCAAATACAAGTAATTCAAGTGATGATAATGGAGGTATTAAAACTTAATTCAGGAGAAAATCTATCTCACATCTATATTATGTTGTATCTTTCTGCATCAGCAAAGTCAAGGACAATATACTCTTAAGTCACTTCATCAACCTTAAAGAAAAAAAAAGAGGAAAAGAAAAACAATTTAACAGCAAGTATAGAATCTCCTCTATTTTTTTTTTTTTTTTTTTTTTAATTAAAAAGACTCATTCCTGTTGATAAATTTTGTGTATTGATTGTGAGATACACCCACGCCTCGGCCTAAAGTGATGCATTTGTTGAGCCTTGAACATTTCTCTCTCTCTCCCTCTCTCTCTGTCTATCTCTCTCTGTTTTTCTCTTGTTTGGCAAATTATAAGGCAGAGACGAAGGGATTTCAAGGACGCGTGGACTTCAATTTAATCGAAGAGGCTGAGAGTGGAGTGGAAGAGTGACACACAGAGGAGAGAAGTTCATTATTCTGCTGAAAAGGAAACCAATGGCTTTCATAGTCGCCATGGTAACTGGCCTTTCTTTTGCCGCCAGACCTATGATAAGGTACTTCACAGCATTAAGCACAATTATTGCAAGGTAAAAGGGGGAAATATTGCTTTCCAAATGCTAATAGATGTTAGATATTGATTGGCATGGCGATTCATACAGAAGTGTGCCCCGAACTGTTTCACCTGCCTGACTCTCTGCAACCTTTGATGAAATTTGATGGAGGTGATGGATAGGCCTTTCTTTTGTGCCGCTGTGGGCTTCAGCTGCTCCTGCATCTTTACTGGAGCTGTAGACATGAAAAAAAAAAGAAAAAAAAAAACAACACCACACTTTATGTAGACAGATTAAGCAGTAAAACAGTGCAACAAACCCAGCTCAAAACATTCAGAGAAAGTTTGGCGAAGTTCTTCTAATGTTTTCAGTTTTGTGTTAGTCACCAGAATGTTCTTCTCCAAGGCAGGACAACGAAACATGTTCTAAAAATGTTTGGTGATAACATCGTTATGCCCTTATGTTCTCAAAACTTGTGACACAGGGAACGTTCTTCCTCTGTTATCATGCAACGTTGTGGGAACATTTTATAGATTGTACCTCGACAACATCCTCAGAACATTACCAGCAACGTGTTCCACCTTTGTTAATATGTCGCATTACAGGAACATGTTATAAAGAACGTTTTGTCATCTGAGGTCTCAAGAACATCTTGAAAACATTTTCTGAATGCTGCATTAAGAACATCGTTTCTTTGATATCATACATAACATTTAATAGAGGAACATCCTGTAATGTGTTCCTTTCAAAGCATCCTCAGAACACTGGAGCTAGAAAGTTCCACCTTTGTTAATAAACCACATTACAGAAATGTTTTATGAAAATCATCTGATAACGTGTGGAAAACGTCCACTGAATACTGCATTGAGAACGTTCTTCTTTTATCGTTGTGGAAATGTTTTATATAAGAGCGTTCTACAATGTGATCCATCACCAAAAAACTAAATGTTCTACCTGCAATTATCAAACCACAGAAATATTATACAACATTATAGAACATAATATTATATATATATAAAGAAAATGATCCGTCCTGTGAGGGTTCGATAACTTCTGGAAAACATTTCCCAAATGTTACATTGAGAACATCTTTCCTTTGTGTCATTGCGAAAACATTTTATAGAAGAAAACTCTCTGATGTGTTCCCTCAACAGCATCCCGAGAACATTCACAGAACATTTCAACCATCTGAGGCCTTCATGACATCGGGAAACATTTTCTGAATGTTGCATCAAGAACATTCTTTCTTAAAGTCTTACAATATGTTCCTTAAACAAACTGACAAGATGTTCTACACCTGTAATATTCAATATAATATCACATTACAGGAACGTTAAACAGCGTTCTGTATAACACAAAATCCATGAATTCAGGGCTCAATAACATCTGGAGAACGTTACCAAATATTGCATGGAGAACATCTTTCCATTGTGGAAACATTTTAAAGAACAACATCCTCTAAAGTGTTCCCTCACCAACATCCTCAGAACATCCTCAGAACATTTCAGCCAGAATGTTTTATCTTTCTCGGTGTATCACATTACAGGAACATTTTATAAAAATTAACTGAAGCCTTGATGACATCTGGAGAACGTTTTCCAAATGTTGAATAAAGAACATCCTTTATTTGTTTCACTGCGGAAACATTTTATAGAAAACATTCTCTAATATGTTCCCTAAACAGCATCCTCAGAACATTGCAGCCAGAACGTTCTGCTTTTGTTAATATATTAGGACTGTTTAAATTTTTTTTTTTTTTAAATCATCTGGGACCTCAATAACATCTGGAGAATGTTAGATAATGTTTTCCTCAACAACATCCCCAACATGTCTTCAGAACATTACAGGCAAAATGTTCCCAGTATGTTACATTTCAGAAACATTTTATTTAAAAAAAAAATCATGAGGCCTCAAAAACATCTGGAGAATTTTTTGAAGGTTGGTTTGAGAACTTTCCTTCTTTGTCACCCTGGAACATAACATGCGTTCCTGACAACATTCTCTGTATCTTGACATTAAAACATTAACTTTATAAGAGCATTATTTTAAAATGAAAATAT